TATGTGCTCTTTTTGTACTTTGTTGTTTTTTAGGGATTGGGTTGATTTAATTGTTTCTTGCTGAGAAGTTGTTGGTGTATCGGATATTTGACTTGTTTCGTTTTGAGCTTCGTTAGATTTTAGGTTTTCTGAAGTATAGGCCTGACCGTCAATATATAGAATATTTCCTTTTATATGAGCTAAATGGTTTTCTTCTTTGGCCTTTTTCATATAGTGTACTAATATTTTTTGTTCCTGCCGTTCTTCTGTTGTCAGGATTTCAGAAATTCTAATTTTGGTTCCTTATAACATTCGTCTGTATTGTAACAAATAAAGGTACTTTATTATTGAGTAAAATTTATATTTTTTGAAGAACGTCGTATACGGCTTAAAAAATTGATATCTGATGGTTGCATTTTAAGTTTTGGACCATGCAAAACTTGTATTCAATAATAAAAAATTTCACAAAACCAATAATAAAAAAGTTTCCCATATTATTCCAACTTAAGTATGACACTGTATGACAAACACTTACAAAAAAGACGGCGAAAATATTTGGAGGAATAAAGAAAAGTAATGGAAACATATATGTTAGATATAGAAATAATTTTATTGCACAAATTCATAACCAAAAATGTATTATTTCAACTATTATTTGATAATTAGGGTAAATATACCTACCTATTTATAATAGATTATGAGGGGTCAGTGCCACTAACAGATTCTTAAGATAAGTATTTTCCCTAATTAGACAGCTAAATATTTAATTTCCCATAAACAAGAAAAACCTTACTAAACAATTGGTAGATTGCCTATCGATATATATCTAAAAATAAGCGATGTTTAGAAATCTTTTCCACCAAACTAACTTAACTGAGAACATAAAATAAAAGCATGGTTGCGTATATTATTTTGCTAAACGACTTTGCGATATAATGGACAAAATATGTAGGTTAAAGAGTGTAGCTACATCTACGTAGGAAAGGATTAACTAAAATTCAAATTTAAATCTTTTTATCAAAAACCAAAAGTGCTATGATATCCTTATAGCTACCATTTCGCAAGCCGATACTGAGACCGACTTCAAAACGCAAGGAAGACCAAAAATGGTCTCTTCACGTCTGAACACATGTAATTATATGAAACACATTTCGGTAGACGCGACCGACGACATCAGATTTAGTATGGCAATATTTGCCGCCTCACTGGTGTCTCGGTCTCCTGTCGTTTGCATTGCATTGCCCTTGTGTTCTCCAACGGCCAAGGGATGGACTATATTAACTAAGTATCTCTCAGTTTTCGCATTGTAGGCAATTCTGAACTTAACCCTTTTACTGCGGAAAGCGCGATATCGTGTCCTCTGGTTGGTTAGTAAAGTGCGGACGGCGCGATATTGCGTCCCATGTAAATATTATTTTAAATGCTTACTATATTATCCGCAGTTTGTGGAAGCGCATGAATCTCACTCCGCACATGCGATAAGACTTATTTTACTTAAATCTGAGCGCCGTTCCAGAATATGTTGTTTATATTCGTGAGTTGCGGATTTTAAACATAACCTGTAATTTTGACGTTCTGTTTATGTTGCCTGTTGTGTTTTGGTCTTTTTATTTATAACCGGCAAAACCCTTAGATGTTACAAGAAACTGGCCATCACGTGTTTCAACTTATGATTAATTCACATATCATATATAATAAGTATAATAGGGAAACATGACCCTGGACAATTTCAGAATCTCAGTTTTAGAGAAACTGTTTTTTTCTCCTGGGCTCGTCTGACTTGTATCTTCGAATAACACTGAAGCCTATTGGCTTATTGTGTTTTACCCCATGTTAGTTTATAGCACCCACTCTGTCACCTTTGTACCTTGTACAAGTTTGTACAGATCCTTGGGTGAGCGGGTTCTATACATTGTTGGATCAACCTGGGGTTGTCCAAAAAGAGCCTGTCTTTTGCGATCTAGAGCTTCGATTTCGCACAGTATGTGTTTGGCCGTTTCTGGTTTCTTGTGACATAGTCGGCACATGAGTTCCCCATTGTACATGCCAATTTTGTTCAAGTGTCCCTTTACTGGAGCGTGCCCAGTCATGAACCCTGTTATCACTTTCAACTGGTTCCTATTCATTGAGAGTAGTTCTCCAGTTCTTTTGGGACATGGTCTGCCTATGAATGCTTTTCGATGTGTCTGTTTTGAGGTGTTTCCCCAATAGTTGATATGTTGTTCCCGAATCCAGTCGTTTATGAAACCCCGGACTGTACTTTTTGGTACTCCTAGGTTTGTGTCTGGTTCCGGTGTTTCTTCTGACCCTCTTTTTGCAAGTTCATTAGCCTTTTCGTTGCTTTCGATCCCTTGGTGACCTGGCACCCAAAATAGTTTTACTCTATTTCGGTCTGCCAGTGTTCTTAGTTCTTCGATGTATTCCCATACCAGCCTCAACGTAACTTTTTGACTCGATATAACCTTAAGTGCCGCTTGGCTGTCTGACATTATTTGAATATGCTGATTTTCGACAGCTCTTTCATTGTTCGTTTTTGCACATTGCAAAATTGCGTATACCTCGGCCTGAAATACCTAGGAATGTATTCCTATAGCATAGCTATGGTTAGATCAGGGTTTTTGGAGAATACTCCTACCCCAGTGCCTTCCGCAGTCTTAGACCCGTCTGTATACAAGGTTTGTTCCTGTCGTTGGGCATTGGGCTCCCTTATGGTGATCTCCGCTCTTTCCTGTATTAAAACCTCAAATGGAGTATTAAAAGAGTACCTCTTGGTTATATGGTCTGATCTCATGTCTAGCACGTCTCCTGTCACTAACCTTGAGTTACTCATGTGACCTGGCCTAATGTCAAGATTTCCCAGTATATTCCCTAATCTGTAAGCACCTATCTTGCCTTCCCTTGTATCACATAGTGAAGTGGTGGGAGTCCTATTAGTGCTTCCATTGCAGAAGTGGGGGTTGTTTTCATTGCCAGAACCTAAATCAGTAAGTAACATAAAAAGAATGGACCATGTGCTTACCAAAATTGCAGAGACTAATGAAAAAGGTCACACTTTACGTAAAAAATGTCGCATTTGCACAAAAAAAAAGATAATAAAAGATACTTTGTTTCACTGCCTTTCTTGTCCAGACAACCCCGGACAATGCATGGGAGCATGTTTTGTTGAATATCACAAAAAAAGTAAAATCATTGTTTATTAGTCTTTACGATTTGCTGTAAAATGTTAAAATTTTATTTTATTTGAAGAGAAAGGTTATTTTATAAAATAAATCTGATGTGTCCGACACATGACTTTCCTATCTAGTTATTACAGGCTTTTTCCGGTTATTTTGTACAACCTATTGCAGCACCTCCACAAATGTTAAGAGGATAAACTAAATATATACATTTTCCACATACATCTACCTCGAAACATTTTTCTATAGATATTCATTGAAAATGAAAATACTGAAAAATTTAAATTTAGCACTTTTCCTACAATTTTTCCATTACGGTCCATTTTAGAAAAATCATGTATAAACAAAAATTATAGAGATCGATATCGCAAACAACTTTTATTTCAACAATTTTCATAAAAATCAGAATTTTGCACATTTTGTCAAATTTCTCGAATACGGACCATTTCAGGAAATTTTGACAAAAAGCAAAAATTATAGATAATAATATTAGAAATAACTTTTATTTGAACTATTTTTTTCTTCAAACATAAATAACAGATATATTCCATAAAATATAAAAACGGCCCCCCATAAGGTACCCCCCCAGATGTTCCGACTTTTTCCAAAATCTAATCATTTCACGTCAGGCCGAAATAAAACTTAAGTTTAAAATTTAATGTTTTTTTTATCCGTTTTTGAGTTTTCTTCAATTTTCGAAATTTACACATTTTCTCAAATATCTCGAATACGGACCATTTTAGGAAGATTTTGTATAGAACAAAAATTATAGATAATAATATAAGAAGTAACTTTTATTTGAAGAATTTTCTTCCCTAAACGTAAATAACAGATATATTCCATAAAATATAAAAATTACCACCTATAAAGTACCACCCCAGATGTTCCGACACTGCCCAAAATCTAATCAGCACATTGGACGCTGGGACAAAGCTTAAGTTTAAAATTTGGTGTTCTTCTGTGTATCGGTTCATGAGTTATGCGACACACAGACACACACACAGGCATCATCGCGAAAATAGTCAAAACGGATTCAGGGAACCTCAAAACGTAAAAATCCGTCGAAAACTCGAGGTCGAAAAAAATCATGATTCCTATACTTTCCTTATATCTGTATACAGATAGGAAAGTAATAATATTTCGTAAAAATCGTTTATTTGTTACTTGACCATGACAACAAGATGTTTTTTAGCTACATAAAAAAATTGTGGTTGGACTAATACGTTCAAAACGTATATACTTACTTTTTACTGAGACGCGAATTAGCGCCTTCCGCATTTTATGCAAAATTTCCCAAAAATGTGCGGAGGACGCGAATTCGCGTCTTACCAAAAAATTAACAAATTGACAACTAGTGTCAAATTCTCAATGAAATATTTTCCCAAAATATATTAATGATTTTGGTATATATGTAAAAAAATGTTTCCGCAGAAACTGTACATCTATATCATTACCGCAGCGAAAGGGTTAAGGAGTAGTTCGCTGGTATTTGTAGTAGTTTGAAAATATTTTCGGCGAATTTGACCAACTCTGCACTAAAATCCATCCACAGGCGGAAAGATATAATTTTTAGCGATTGTATTCTGTCGCAATTACTCGATACTGTCATTTTTACAGCGGATTAGTTTTATTACGTTGTATTAAGTCTGCCGTACGGTGGATTTCGTTTATCTGTATCTACATTCTACGCCATTAAATAAACGCGATATTTAAGTAATTACTATCCTTCAATACGCCACTGTTATCACATTTGAGATAAGCGTGTTATTATTAGATAATTAAATAAAAATCTGTTGACATTGTGCGGTTTTCAAATTTTACAAAACTCTTTCTAATTTATTACAGATGACACGAATACTATGGTTTAAAACGATTCGAAAATGACTGAAAACCACAAAATAATTGCACCATTGGTGACAATTTCTGAGGTAGCACCAAGCGTGGAAAGTTTACGAGATTCACCGGTCGAAAATGAGGATTTCAAGGATTCAAAGTTACGAATTGACCATATTTTCCAAAGACGAGAGTCGATTTTGTCATCTGAAATCAGTCTTTTTGTGGAAAAAACCAGTCAAAAAATTCCCGACGGAGGATGGGGTTGGTTAGTAGTTCTGGCTGCTTTTATTATTAACATGTTGTCTGATGGAGTCGGTTTCACATTTGGATTGCTGTATATAGAATTTTTGAATGAATTCGGTGCTTCCAAATCGGCGACGTCATGGATTGGGAGTTTATTCATGGCTCTTCCTTTAATTGCAGGTAAGTAACTTTCTTAAATTTTAAAAGGTAATTTATGTTGTTATCATAGGCATATTCGTGATCCAAATTAATTTTCGCGCGCCTGTCATTTGTCACCTATTATTTGTTTATTTACAATTGAAGGACTAATTGTAAAAACGTGATGAGCCACACTGTTAAAAATAAAAGCATTTTTATTTCACGACAATAAAAATTAGGTTAGGTTAGGTTAGGTTATGTTAAATTAGGTTAGGTTAGGTTAGGTTAGGTTAGGTTAGGTTAGGTTAGGTTAGGTTAGGTTAGGTTAGGTTAGGTTAGGTTAGGTTAGGTTAGGTTAGGTTAGGTTAGGTTAGGTTACAAAAGCCATAAACCAAATGGAAATTCTCCAACACTATCATTAGCCGAAAAATCAAGTTATTGCATTTTAACAAAGTTGTAGTAGTTTATTTGAACCTTTTAAAAAGTGTTTCCTTAATAAATTAAAGTTGTGGCTCATCATATTATTCCAATAAGCCCTTCAAATCAGTGGCGGCCTGTCGTGATTTAAAATGGGTGTTCACTTTTTCCAATAATTACTATTAATAATAATAATAATAATAATAATAATACTCTCCCTAATTCACCCCCTTACGAGTGAATTTCAACCCCTGAAGTCGACTGAACGACTTGTGTAAGGGAAGGGACGGCTATTATTATTATTTGCCGTGGCGCTCCGGGGCGACTTAAAGATGGTTGATGGTACCATTTGACTTACAGGTGAGGAAAACCCGGAAAACCTCACCCACCATCATTAATGAATGAATAAATGAATATTTTAGTTATTGCAATATGTGTTTTGTTTTTACTACTTTGAAAACCATCTATAAACATTATTATTAGTTATTCAACTGACTGTTCTTCATATTTTGAGATTATTTTTAAATGTAAAAAGCTTGACATTGATTTTTGTATACAAAATATTATATGAAACTACCTACCGTTTTTCAGTTTTTATTGTAAATTTAATCATTTTTATAATTTGTCACACATATTAAATAAAACAATATATTTTTTAAATACCCTTTATTGGCAAAAACAAGTGAATTAAAATGTGTATTTTGTAAGGTCAGTCCCATCACAATACATAATATTACACAGATACAAACTAGAATGAAGATATATAATGCGTGGCATTCTAAATTATAATTTTCACAGTTTAACAGACCCCCTTAACCTCCCATTTTCAATCAGATTATTTTCACAATCAATAGGCCTCATCTCCTTATAGAGCTTGATTTCTACTAATAAATTTCATGTTGATATCGCTTTTCATTTTTGATTTATGATTCTTTTTTAATTTTAACCCCCCTTAAACCCCCATTTTTAATCAGATTTGTTTTTTTTTTTTTTCAAAATTAAAGGGCTTCTTCTCCTTATAGAGCTTGATGTTTGCTAAAAAAGTTAATATCATTTTTCGTTTTTGAGTTAAGATTTTTTTTATATTTTAACCCTCCCTAACTCCCCTATTTTTTTAGATTTTTTTCTTATAGAGTTTAATTTTTACTAATCATTTCATGTTAATATCGTTTTTCGTTTTTAATTTAGGATTTTTTTTTTAATTTCAACTCATCCTAACCCCCTATTTTTAATCAGATTTTTTCATAAACAATAGGCTTTGTCCCCTTATAGAGCTTGGTATTTGCCTTAAATTTTCAAGTTTATATCATTTTTCATATTTGACTTATCGTGCAGACAAAAACCGTGACATCAGACAAGGTAAACCTATAATACTATTTACAGACTACTGTGTGAAGAGTAGAATAATAATATAATCAAGGCTAAAACAATAACATAATAGCCTACAAAATAGGTATACTAAAAGAGTGATAAAGTCAGAATTGAAAATTATTTAATAGGTATATCAGTACTTCGGAGATAAACTGTGCTGTCATTCTAGTCAGCTTTTTAGTAGGGCAGACTGAATGTTGGTTGAACACTTTTCGTGTTCTATATTTACATGTAATAATTATATTTCGACAAGAAATTCAGTTGGCCCCAATTATTGTCACAATATCTATTATTTACTAATAATCTAACTATTAAAACTTTTTTTTAATATACGTGAGTTGTTGGTTTTGTAACATATTTATATGTTCTGATAACAATTTTTCTATGACATACCTACCTAGTATCTTATACCTCCAACATGCCTCTATAAATAGTACAACTAACATGAGAGTTAAATAGTGTTGTTTAACGTTTAAACATTGAACATAGTGTTCTATTTTAAAAGTCAACTTATACTATGACATAACTGTACATGATATAGAATACCCCTGAAAAGGTATCGATGAGCCGATTTTAAAAATATAACTTATATAAAACTGCACTGTCTACATAGTTTACCTCCCAGATAGATATCGGTAAATATTTCATATATTCTTCATGATATAGGTACATACATACATAGACACAACTATTAAATTTCTTGAATTAATTTAGGCCACTGCTATATTTATATTTTATTTCCTCTTTTAAAAAACTGTAATAAAATGCTCAGTGCTATATCAGTCTAACACTATTTATCAGTACCTCTGGTATTTATAGATAGGGCATTTTTCTATAACTTCAAGGGACAACCTACAAAATAAACAATTATTCATATAACATTTTACTGGGGTCAAGAAATTTGGAAATAAACATAACCTCAACAAATAATAGTAATTTTTTACCGGTGACGTTTTACGGTAATAATCGTTGAATTGACACACATACTTCCGATTTATTAAAGTCGCAGTTTTATTTAAACTTAATTTTTAATACAATTCTCAATTAAAATTGTCTCATGTTAATTTTTAGAATTTGACAGCTTGATTGGAAAGTTGGTTGGAAAGCTTAAGAAGTTAGAATATGAAGTAGGTAAATACGGAATAAGGATTATTTTGTGATATGACAAGTGAAGGCACTTTGCGTCTTATTTTAATTAATTTAAAGTTAATCATTTTTTATTTGTAGATTGACGGAATTAAAATATTTTTATATCATTTAAATCACGCTATTTTAAAAAATGGCATTTATTATCACCAAAACTAACTAGCTCAAATTTGCCATATGTCGTAAAAGAGTAATACAAAAATGCAGACAGGTTTAGTACCGTCATTGCTTCTCTATATCTATGACTTGAAAGATTATGACGTTACGGTGTGCGTTGCGCAAATTAGGCTGATTTAAGTTATTTTATAACTGTTTTACTACGTTTCAGGGATCTGTTATCGTGTGACATTTCTATTTAGCTAAAGATTTTCAAGAGCACTTTTCACTCCTTCTGGCTCACTTATAAAGGCGCGCCACTAAAACGCGATTAGCCAGAGCGTAGTGGTGTACCCAAAAATAGATATAAATACGTATGAAAACAATAAAATTATTAAAATTGAATTAATATATTTATGTTATTTATTTTAAAATAATGTATTTTAATGAAATGTTACTGGGTATTTACTGCACAAATGAACCAATGGAGAAATCGCCCCTGCCTTCAATTGTTGTGTTATGGCGGGCTTTCGTATTTTTGATTTTTTAATTATTTTTAAATATTTTCATTATAATAGTGTTTTTAAGATTCATTTAGGTTCTGTGCTTTCGTTATAAATATAATATTTATCATGTGTTTAAAACTAAATTTATAGAAAATCGTCTTGAAATATTTGTTTGCTAAATGCAGGACATCTTTTATTATGTGGTTTAAAGAAAATTTTACACCTTATGTTTATTATTGATAAACTTAATTAAAAATCTAAGTATCCTTTTTCTTAGATTCTTAAGTAAACATTGTGTTACTCTATAAACATGTAAACCGAAATAAAACTGTCACAGTGCAGAATGCAGTTTGATTCTATGTTTCAAAAGCTCAATAATGTGAATTTGTAGATATCCATTTATTACAAGAAACAAACTTTTAGGAGTTACGCTTGGAAAATAATGGAAACTTCCGGTTTTATTTTTACATGCAACTTTTAACACAATATAGATTGCAGTTTACTGGGGGCTCTGTCGCAAATTTCATTTTTAATAAAATCACTATCACACACTAAAACAAAACAAATTTAATGTTCACAAATAAGAAAAAAATTGAATTGATACAAATTATACTATAAACTGCTAACACGAACGCCAATATTGTCAACTGATATAATTAAATCGATTTTATAAAAATCCTTAAATAAATATGGAGTATGATTATTGATTTCATATTGGTAGACACACATTTAACTACTTAAAAAAGGCCTTTGCACTGTTAGAAGGGATAAAAGTCTGCTGACGTAGTGTAATTCCGCTACTGTTAGCAGCATTGAAAGAAGGTATACTTACAGACATATCTTTTACAAATTTCCTTCAGAGGGCGTATCGCTTAGCTAGTATCGCGAATATACCCGCCACATACTTTGATTACTATACGGGGCAAGAGAGAGGTCCGACACGCCCAACATAAGGCGCGGCCATTTTGAACCCTATGACACAGTTTATAGCTAAAGAATCAGATCGCTCACTCTGCGTCGGCACTTTTTATCTCAATGTTCCAGTTTATACACTGCACAACTCAGATAATACAATATATTTATGACAACCGCCTATAATAAAACAGCAGTCTTCTGCGTATCCTGAATTTGTATCCCTGGAGTGGATGTTATTTTGGAACTTTCAACTGGTCCGAGTGAGCTAACTGATTCTTTAGCAATAAACTGTGACTCCAAAAATAATATTCACTGATACTGACAGCAGCAAGCAAAATATCAGGTGCGTTTTAATCATCCGCTTCTGCTTCCGGAATTCTTGGTTTAGTCGTTTTAACCTGTCATATTAAAACAAGAAAACCGACAATTCCGAAGCAGAAGCGGATGATTAAAACGCACTTATTAAAAATATTGCGCCAAGATGTAGGCAACACGTAATAAAGGTTCAAAATGGCGGAGTTTTCTATCTCCTTTTAAAAGGCACTCAGAAAGCTGCGCAGTGCGGTCATTCTCCGTATAGTAAAAGAAAAT